TTTCAGAGAGAAAGGGAAAGGGAGAGAGAGATAGAAACATCAATGATGAGAGAGAGAGAATCATTGATTGGCTGCCTTGTGCAAGCCCCCTACTAGGGATCAAGCCCACGACCCAGGCATGTGCCCTTGACAAGAATGGAACCTGGGATTCTTCAGTCTGCAGACTGACGATCTATCCACTGAGCCAAACCAGCTAGGGTGGGATAGGTATCTTTTAAATATTTTTAATTTGTGTACTGTGTGACTATATTAACTATTTTTTTTAAATATATTTTTCTTGACTTCAAAGAGAAAGGAAGAGGGAGAAAGAGGTAGAAACATCAAAAATGAGAATCATTGATCGGCTGCCTCCTGCACACCCCCTACTAGGGATCAAGCCCATAACCCGGGCATGTGCCCTTGACCAGAATTGAACCCGGAATCCTTCAATCTGCAGGCTGATGCTCTATCCACTGAGCCAAACTGGCTAGGGCTGATGGGTTTTTTTTCTGAGTATTGAATTATTTTAGTTACATATTTTTAAAGAAATGAACTATTTAAAAAGAAATATAGAAAAGCATAAAGAAGGTGTAAGAGTCACTTATAATCTCAAAGATAACTAACATTTGATACATTTCTTTCAGTTATATATACATTATAAACCTGCTAAATATGCTACTTAGTGTTTATATTCTGTTTGCCCTTCACTCAGCAATTATATTATTTGTATTCTTCCCATGTCACTGGAAGTATAATTTATTTAACCATTTTCCCATTATTGAATATTTGAGGTTGTTTCCAACTTGTCACCATTATAAATAACTTTGAAGTGCATGGTACATAAAACTTAGTGCATTTTTCATGATCTCGTTGGGATAAATTTCCAAGAGAGAAATAACTGGATCAGAATCTGTGACTGTTTGACAGGTTCTTGTTAGATATTTATATGTGAAAGATATTTTTCTTGATAGGCTAACACAGAACTTTTTCTCTAAGGAACATATGAATGATAAAAATATCATCAAAGCCGTAGAACAGCAGCAGCAAGAGGAGGAAGATGAAAAGATCAGAAAATTTATCAAAACAAAAAAGCGTCTTATACAAATGAGGAAAGAAAAAGAAGCTGAAACACACAGGTAAGCTTTTAAAATAACTCACATAATTAATAAATTATTTTGTTATAAATGAGAAGTTGTGACATGAGCGTAGCCTTTAGGAATAAAGGCCTCATTATTTTATGGATGACTCGAGCATTTGTGACACAATGACTTCAGTTTGGGGCATGTGAGTTGGGGTTTCCCTGGAATATCAAGGACAGCTGTCTGGTAGAAGGCTGGGAATACTGGAAATCTCTGCTCTGGACGGGTATGAGCTGGAGGTGGCTGTGTGAGGCATTGCTGTACATGCGGCTGTTAGAACTGTAGACACGGGTGACCTCACCTAAGGTGAATAGGTAAGAAATGAAGGTGGCATAGTCCTTGGGACAAATGCAGAAAGAAGGTAAGGTGCAGACCACAGAATAGCTTCTAGAGATTGGAGGGAAACCAGAGAAACAGCAGAGGAGGAGAGTTTCAGTTAAAAAAAAAAAAAGGCAATCTTTAGTGTTAGATCAATAAAGGTATTAAATGAGATTTTTTAAATTGTGTATTAGATTTAGTGGTCAGTTTAGTGAGGAGTTTGGGATGAGGCGAGAGTGGGAAGCCAGCGACAGTACATCGTGTTTCTGCCTAGATCATGCTTTTCTCTGATGGCTTTACGTCACACTTAGAGTCTTTACTATGGCCGCTGGGGCTCCACACCTGTCCTAATTCGCAACTGCCTCCAGCCTCACCTCAGACCTGGTCTCTCACAGTTTTCTCCTTCCTTTCCTCTTCCTCGCTCACAGGGCACCTCTCCTGTACCCTCTCTGGGGGATGCTCACCTCTCTTAACTCTTCAGGTCATTACTCAAATATTGCCTTCTCATTGAGGCTTTCTCTGACCACCTTAAAATCACAACCCCACCCCCACCCCCACATTGCTTATCCCTTTATTTTTTTTAAACCCACTGGTTTTTATTATTATTTATTTATTTTTCTTTATTGATTAAGGTATTACATATGTGTCCTTATCCCCCCATTGTCCCCTCCCCCATGCCCTCACCCCCCTAGTGTCTGTGTCCATTGGTTAGGCTTATATGCATGCATACAAGTCCTTTGGTTGATCTCACCCACTTACCCCTAACCTCCCCTACCTTCCCTCTGAGGTTTGACCGTCCGATCGATGCTTCTCTGTCTCTGGATCTGTTTTTGTTCATCAGTTTATGTTGTTCATTATATTCCATAAATGAGTGAGATCATGTGGTATTTATCTTTCTCTGACTGGCTTATTTCACTTAGCATAATGGTCTCCAGTTCCATCCATGCTGTTGCAAATGGTAAGAGTTCCTTCTTTTTTACTGCAGTGTAGTATTCCATTGTGTAGATGTTCCACAGTTTTTTAATCCACTCATCTGCTGATGGGCACTTAGGCTGTTTCCAAATCTTAGTTATGGTGAATTATCCCTTTAATTGCTCTCGTTTTCCTGGTTGCATGATCTAGCACTATTTAAATTATTTATTGTTTGCTGTCCCTCTACCCCAGCTATAACAAAAGCTACATGAGGGCAGAGACTTTTAATGTTTTTGTTTATTATTAGTCTCCAGCACTTGGAATAGTGCCTGGCATATAGCAGGCAATCAATAAAAGTGTTAAAATATTGTTTTAAGCCTAGATGAAATGTCACCTTTTCCATGAAGCCTTTTTTTTTCTTTCATTTTCTTTTTCATTTGCCTATATCATTTTCTAGCTTTCTCGTGGCATTTGTATAGTTGCCCTTTGTCTGTATAGTTACTTGTGCAAATGTCTTTTCTCCACTTTAAATTGTAATTACCTTGGGATAGGCACTGTGTTCTTTCTCATAATTTCTGCCACATTGCTTTGCAAATTCACTCAGTAATTTAGTGAATTTGTCACATCTAAGTTTAAAAGTATTTTTGGCTCAACATCCTAAATAAAAATGCCCCAAGCTTTTATTTTTTATACATTTTTAAATATATTTTTTAATTTCAGAGAGGATAGGAGAGGGAGAGAGAGCGATATTAACATCAATGATGAGAGAGAATCATTGACCGGCTGTCTCCTACATGACCCACACTGGGGATGGAGCCTGCAACCCAGGCACATGCCCTGACCACGAATTGAACCGTGATCTTCTGGTTTCATAGGTTGATGCTCAACCACTGCACCACACTGGCTGGGCCCCAATCCTTTATTTATTTATTTATTTATTTAGTTAGTTAGTTAGTTAGTTGTGTGTGCGTGTTTTTTTATTTTGGGGGAGGGGACCCAAATCCTTTAAAAAATAAGGCAGTCTTCTCCCCCTTATCCATAGTTTTGCAGATAATAAGAGGATGGATTTATTCAGAATTTGATAACTTTTACTAGATTCTTTTGTATTTTATTTAAAGAAAGGCCTTTGATTTATTTTATAACTTAAGCCTCCAATGTTAGAGTAAACAGAGTAATATAGTAAAGTATTTAAAAATATTTTTCATTGTGGAGAATTTTAACACTTTATTTCCTATACACATGTACACATATACGAGATCATATTATATGCATTACTCCCTTTGGATTTTTAGAATACCATAGTATTCTAATATGATAGTATTTGATCTGGTAACTGAGATGGCCACTAAGTGACTAACAGGCAGGTAGTGTATAAGGTAGTGTATACAGCGTGGATATGCTGGACAAAGGGATAGTTCATGTCCCAGGTGAGATGGAGTGAGATTTCATCACACTACTCAGAATGGTGTGCAATTTAAAACATAGAAATTGTTTATTTCTGGAATTTTACATTGAATATTTTTGGACTGAGGTTGACCACAGGAAACTGAAACCACAGAAAGCAGAACCACAGAAAAGGGGGGACTACTGCATACTTTATTCTAAAAATGAAGTATTAAAAATAATTTCCATTTAAAACAATCAATATATATGCGAGGGGCAAAGGGGCTCCTTTTTGCCTTGTAAAAGACTAAAATATCTGACTCTCCAAATTATACTGACTCCATAGCAGATCTATTCATGAAGATCTGACATGATGGTTGCTTTGTTATAGGCTAATGGAGGAACGTAGAAAAAGAATAAATAACTTCCTGAGTGAAATAATAAAACAGAAACTTGACAATGAAGATATGATTCTTGCTAGAAATAGTGAAGAAGTTGAGGCTGAATGGGAAAAAAGAGAAAGAGAGAAAGATGAAAAAAATAAAGCAGAATTAAAAGCGATTGAAGAATATAGAGTCTTTGCGGTAAGCAATTCAATTTTGACAAATAAAAATTACACCAAAAAAAATGTAAGCCCTTCCCACTGTCCTTTCTACTCCCTCTGTATCCCAGACAAAAAAATGTCAGAGATTTGAAAAATAATGTATGAATTATCTTCCTGTATTCTTGAAATCAGACCATGTTTACTTTCTAACAGAAGATAACATGACAATCAATTACAAATAATGTGTTTATAGATGCAAAGTAATAATCTCTTCTGTTCTAGTTTGGTGAAATATGCCATTGGCATTTTAATAGGAATTGCATTGGGTAGTATGGACATTTTAATGATGTTAATTCTTCCAGTCCATGAACACGGTATATGCTTCCTCTGTGTCTTTCTTCAGTGTCCTATAGTTTTCTCAGTACAGGTCTTTTATCTCCTTGGTTAAATTTATTCCTAGGTAGCTTATTTTTTGTTGTTGTTGCATTAGTATGAAATACAAAACATTTTATTCATTAATATACTTTGAATTTGAATGTTTTCAAGACAAATAATGTAAAAATTATCCTATTGCATTTCTGTATTTCTTAATTCTTCAGAATTTATTTCCTATATGACTGTCATAATATTTAAATTGGATAATTTATAAACATTGTAGCAACTAATATTTTTTACCTACAAAGATTTTCCTACCTTGAGAAGATCTACCTTTTTTTCTATTCCTGTATTTTTTTTTTTTAACAAATGTCATTCTATTTAAGTTGTTGTTGTGTGTCCTGATATTTGGGAGATAAACTGTCCACATGGGAATGAGCCCAGGTGCATACAATTTTCCGCCCTTGCATTGCTCTGGGCTGACTTTCTGCTTGGAGCTTTCTGATCCGTGCCTTCTTTAGAGAGCAATGGTTGCTGAACATGGTTTAGTGTTTTCCTTTACCTTTTAACATCTAGATGAAAAACAAAGCAGAAGAAGAAAGACAAAGAAAAATTGAGGATAAAGAACATTTGCTGGCTGTCATGAAAGCGGACCAGATTTTCTATGAGCATGAAAAGGAGAAAAAACGCAAAAGTGATAAAGAACGTCTTGAAGTTCAAGATGCCCATATTCAGCAAATGGTAATTATTCATAACTGTTTATACTTATTTTAGTAATAACTGTGTAAATAGAGTTCATGCGAGTTTTCTTTCCAAAGCAGATTCTTTGACAAGTGAGATCAGCTGGTCATTATGACACAATCCTATATAATAAAAGGGTAATATGCAAATTGACCCTAATGGTGGAACAACCGGAACAACTGGTCGCTATGACGCGCACTGACCACCAGAGGGCAGACGCTCAATGCAGGAGCTGCCCCCTGGTGGTCAGTGCGCTCTCACAGGGGGAGCGCTGCTCAGCCAAAAGCTGGCTCATGGCTGTCCAGCACAGCAGCAGTGTGGGGGGTCTCTCCCGCCTCCGCAGTAGCACTAAGGATGTCCAACTAACAGCTTAGGCCCACTCCTCACAGGGAGCAGGTCCAAGCCATTAGTTGAACATCCCCCAAGGGCTCCTGGGCTACCAGAGGAATGTCCAACTGCCAGCTTAGTCCCACTCCCTTGGGGAGCGGGCCTAAACTGACAGGTGGACATCCCCCAAGGGTTTCTGGACTGCGAGAGGGTGCAGGTTGGGCTGAGGGAAACCCCCGAGTGCATGAATTTTTGTGCATTGGGCCTCTAGTCTATACTAATAATAGAAGAATATGCAAATTGTCTAGGACGTCATCACAGTAACGACCAAACAGCAGGCTGCATGGGGCGACCAGGCCAGCAGCGGGGGCAGTGAGGGATGACCAAACAACTGAACAGCAGGCCAGCAGGGGGATTAGTGAGGGATGACCAAACGACTGAACAGCAGGCTGCATGGGGTGACCAGACCAGCAGGGGGGGACAATTGCTGGCGACCAGGCCAGCAGGGGGGAAGTTGGGGATGACAAGTCTGGTGGGAGGGGGCAGTTGGGGGTGACCAGGCTGGCAGGGGGGCAGTTAAGGGTGACCAGGCCGGCAGGGGGGGCAGTTAGGGGAGATAAGGCCACAGGCAGAGGCGGTTAGGGGTGATCAGGCTGGCAGGCAGGTGAGCAGTCAGGAGCCAGCAGTCCCAGATTGTGAGAGGGTGCAGGCTGGGCTGAGGTGACCCCGCCCCCTGTGCACGATTTCGTGCACTGGGCCTCTAGTATCTAATCTAATAATAGACAAACAGGGTAATTGACTGTACCTTCGCTACACCTCCCATTGGCTAATCAGCGAGATATGCAAATTAACCACCAACAAATATGGCGGTTAATTTGCATACATAGGCGAGAAGCGGAGCAGCGAAGGCGCTGAAGGTGGCTCTGGCCGGAGCAGCAAAGGCCTGGGTGCCGGGTGCTGGAGGAAAACCAGTGCTGGCAGCCAGGGGAAGGGAAGGCCTATTGCACGAATCTTTTCGTGCAACAGGCCTCTAGTATATATATAATAGACTAAGCAACTGGCCAATTGGCCAACCAGCCGGTAGGTATGATGCACACTGACCACCAGGGGGCAGACGCTCAACACAGGAAGTGCTGAGCGACAGCAAGTTTGCAGAGTGCCCTCTTGCACTATGGGACTCCTCGGGGGATGTCGGACTGCCGGTTTTGACCCAATCCCCACAGGCTAGGCTGAGGGACCCCACCTGCTGGAGGCACCCCGCTTATTCCACAGACACCCTTCGAGCCCCGGTGCCACCCCAGGTGCAGCCGGCCAGGGAGGGGTGGTGGGAGGTTGGCTCCAGGGCATGTCCGGCCCATCTAGCCCAGTCCTGCCCCGCTGGCCACCTTCTAATTAATTTCCTTTCAATGTGCACAAATTTGTGCACTGGGCCTCTAGTTACTCAGAAATTATACTGATTGAGATCTTATAGGTTTCACATCTGAAGTGAGTACCATAAATTTTAGAACATGTATGAAGGACCTGGCATGCAATCATTTGTAACTAAAAACTGTCTTACAAAATGGCTGTACCATTTTCCATTCCTACCAACAACATATATGAAGACAAGTTGCTCCATATCCTCACTATCACTTAGTACTATCCTTTGATTTAGACTATTATAGTGTAGTGATGTTTCATGGTGTTATTATGCATTTCCCTAATGACTAAAAATATTGAACATCTTTTCATGTTATTCTTAACTATATGTGTGCCTTCTTTTGTGAAGTGTTTATTCAAATCTTTTGTTAATTATTTGATTGGGTTGTTTGATTTCTTATTGTTGAGTTTTAACTTGTTTTTTAATGTGGTAAAATATATATAATATAAAATTTACCGTTTTATCCATTAAACAGAACTCTCTATTCTCCCTTCCAGCCTCTGGTAACCACTGTTCTATTTTCTGTTTCTATGAATATGATTATTCCAGGTACCTTATATTAGTGCAATCATACAATATTTGTCCTTTTGGTATCTTATCTCACTTAGCATAACATCTTCAAGGTTCATTCATGTTGCCACATATGTCAGTTTCATTCTTTTGTTTTGTTTTTTATTGGTTAATCCTCACCAAAGGATATTTTTCCATTGATTTTTAGGGAAAGTGGAAGAGAGAGGGAAAGAGAGAGAGAAACATCGATGTGAGAGAAACACATCGATTGGTTGCCTCCTAGGCCTGGGCCAGGGAGGTGCCTACAACCAAGACATGTGCCCTTGACTGGAATCAAACCCGGGACCTTTTGGTCCACAGGCCAAAGCTCTATCCACTGAGCTAAACCAGCTATAGCTCAGTTTCATTCTTATTAAGGCTGAATAACATTCAATTGTACATGTATACTGCATTTTGTTTATCCATATATCCATCAGTAGATTTGGGTTGTTTCCATCTTTTGGCCATTGCAAAGAATGCCTCTGTGCACATTGGTATACAAATATCTGTTTGAGTTTCTTCTTTCAGTTCTTTTGTTTACATACCCAGAAGTGGAATTGCTGGGTTACATGGTAATTCTATATTTAGTTTATTTTTAGAACCATTGTACTGTTTTCTATAGCAGCTGTACCTTTCTACATTCCCACCAGCAATGTTCAAGGATTCCAATTTCTCCAAATTCCAACAAATTGTTTTCTGGGTTTGTTGTTGTTGGGTTTAAAAATATATATAGATAGATAAATAGATTTTTTCATTGATTTCAGAGAGGAAGAGAGAGGGAGAGAGAGAAACATTGATGCTGAGAGAGAATCATTGATTGACATCCCTCTGGCAGCCTGGGAGACCTCAGGGTCTCCTCCTTAGCACTGCAGAGGAGACAGGAGAGGCTCCTGCCACCACCGCTGCTTTCCCAGCTGTCAGTCCAGCTTGTGGCTGAGTGGAGCTCCCCCTGTGGGAGAGCACTGACCACCAGGGGGCAGCTCCTGCATTGAGCATCTGCCCCTGGTGGTCAATGCATATCATAGCGACCAGTTGTTCTGCCATTAGGGTCAATTTGCATATTCCCTTTTATTATATAGGATTAGCCATGTCTATTCAGCCTGAAGACTTTCTATAGTATGTTTTACAGTACAGATGGGCTAGCAATAAATTCTTCAGTTAGCTTTTCTTTTTTTATTGATTTTTAGAGAGAGGAAGTGGGGGGGGGGCGAGAGAATGAGAGAGAGGAAAAGAGAAAGAAAAAAACATTGATCAATTGTCTCCTATACATTCCCCAACTGGGGATCAAATCTGCACCCTGAGTATGCATCCTGATCTGGAATCAAACCTCCCCCCACTTTTGGTGTACAGGACAGTGCTCCAACCAACTGAGCCACAGTGATCAGGGCCAGTTGTTTTTTTGTGTGTTTTTTTAAAATAATGTCTTTATATTACCTTCCTTTCCTTGGATATAAAATTGTGGGATGTCATATTTTTCCATTTTGAATATGTTTTTTCAGTGTCTTCTGGCCTTCATTGTTTATGATTAGAAATCTGCTATTAAATATTTTGTTGGTACCTATATATATATAATGTGTTGTTATTCTCTTGATTTTAATATTTTTCTCTTTATTTTTGGCTTTCAGAAGATTTACTGTGATGTGTTTTTCTCGTGTTTATCCTTTTTGGAGTTTGTGATACTTCTTGGATGTGCCTGTTATATCACCAAATGTGGGAAGTTTTTGACCATTATTTCTTCAAATATTTTTTCTGCCCCTCTCTTTATCATTTTCCCCTCAAGGGTCCAATTTTCACATACAAAGAGACATTTGATATTATACCAGAGATCTCTGAAGTTCTGTTCATTTTTCATCAATCTTTTTCTTTCTGTTGTTCAGATGGGACAATTTTTATTGGTCTACCTTCAAATTCACTGATTCTGATATTGAACACATCTAGTGACATTTTTATTTCAATTATTGAACTTCCAACTAAGTTTTTATTTGGTTCTTTTTAATGGTTTCTCTTTTCTATTTAGATTCCCTATATTTCCTTTAATTCTTTTGATATGTGTATAATAGCTGCTTTGAAATCTAATTGTTAAATTCAATTTGCTGCTTAGAACAATTCTGTTTTTTCCTTACAACAATGTAACACTTTCCTATTTCTTTGCAAGTCTAGTAATTTTTCATTGAAAATCTGACATTGTATAGAGTATGTTGTACACTCTGTTTTGTTCTGAGGATGGTTGCTTTTTGTTTTAGTAGGCAGTTACTTTCCCTGGATGCAAGCTATGAAATGTCTCTTCACAATAGGCAGCCTTTGAAGTCTCTGCTAATGTTTGTTTGTTTTTAAGTCTGGCTCTCTAAGGTTCCTCTCCGTACTGGCATTGACAGTCAACCAATAACATGGGTAGAGTTTATCTTCAGACAAGTTAAACCAGCAATGCTTTTACCACTGCTGCATAAGCTGTGTGTGGGTTGAGGATGGCCTTCAAAGAACAGAACATTCACAATCTCCTCCAGGTCTTTAATTTTTGCTAGACGTACTGGGATCTCCTGTGTGAATATATAGTTTATCAATTAATCAGGGATGTCTGTAGAGTTTATTATTTTAATTCTTCTGTAACTGTCTTGCCTCCAGAATCTCCCCCTTAAATTTTTAGCAGCGTTGCCACTCAACTCAAATGGAATTTGCAAGTTTTCGTTACTTGAGCTGGATAAAT